GCCTCCAAGAATCCAGGCGGTGTTGGTGATTTATTGTGCTCAAAAACTCCAAACATGGTGCAAAAGAAACTAAACATGTACAAGATCCTCTGGGCCTCAGCCTCCCTCCAGTTACCAGCAATGGAACAAAGAAACAGAAAACAGAAATGGCCGCTCTTCTTCCCACAGCCCTCATTAAATAGTTTAAGCCCCTACAGGCTCTCTTATTTCTGATTTCTTCTCATTAATTAGTTTTGTCCATCTGCCAGTCCAGGGGAACTGCCCCTGATGTTCACGCAATGTTGCAGAGCTGCGTTAGCCAACACAGCCCCACAACATCCAGAGCCTTAAGGTTCTCAGGGTGAATCTCATCCACCCCTGGAGCCTTGTCACTGAGGAGCTTTTTAACCACCTCAGTGAGCTCAGCACCCGAGATAGGAGAACTTCCTCAATGGAAGGCGTGTTGGTGGGGTTAAGGAGATCTTCGATGTTCTCTGCCCACCGACATACAACGTCCTGAGTCGAGGTCAGCAGCACCCCACCCCCACTATAAATAGTGTTGGTACTGCACCGCTTCCCCCCCCGAGACGCTGGATTGTGGACTAGAATCACTTCGAAGCTGTACGGAAGTCTTTCTCCATGGCCTCTCCGAACTCTTCAGCCACCAGCCGAGCCACCCACCGCTTAGACTGCCGGTACACATCAGCTGCTTCTGGAGACCCACAGGTCAATAAAGCCTGATAGGACTCCTTCTTCAGCTTGGCAGCTTCCCTTACCGCTGGTGTCCACCAGCGTGTTCGAGGGTTGCCGCCACAACATCCACTGACAACCTTGCAGACACAGCTCCGACTAGCCGCCTCAACAATAGAGGCACGGAACATGGTCCACTCCAACTCAATGTCCCCCACCTTCCTTGGAACATGTTCAAAGCTCTCCCGAAGGTGGGAGTTAAGCTCCTTCTCATGGGGGACTCTGCTAGACGTTCCCAGCAGACCCTCACAATACGTTTGGGCCTACCAGGTCTGACTGGCATCCTCCCCCATCATTGGAGCCAACTCACCACCAGGTAGTGGTCGGTGGAGAACTCCGCCCCTCTCTTCACCCCAGTGTCCAAGATATGCGGCCGCAGGTCAGATGAAACAACAACAAAGTTGATCATTGAACTACGGCCTAGGGTGCCCTGGTGCAAAGAGCACATATGGACACCCTTATGCTTGAATGGTGTTCGTTATGGACAATCCATGACGAGCACAGAAGTCCAACAACAGAACACCACTCGAATTCAGGTCAGGTTTTTCTTTACTTGTTTTTGTAAAATTCTCTCTAAAAATCCACATATTTCCTCCTCACTCTTCTATCCCATCTCTCTGCTGCTTTGACAGACAGCAAAAAAAAAAACGACAACAAAAAAAATATTTTAGGGACCCAGTAGCTCCTCTGCAGAACCATGAGAACATTTCAGCTGCTTTCTTCTCACCAGCTGCTCCGTTCTGAACCAGCTGGGAATTTCAGCTGCTGTTCAGACTCTGCTTAAGGTCTTTACATATTTTACATAAACAAGTAATATTCTCTTCCCACCAGTAAAAAAATAGATAAATAAAATAAAATCTTGTTGCTATAGTAACTCTGTGAAACAACTGTCCAAATAAAAACCAATAGTAAAACTATTTGCTGCTGCTGAGGATCCAAAAAAAGTTTCTAAAATTTGCCAAAGAGGCAAAGAACCAGGAAAAAAGAAGCAGAAGGTGAAACGAGCTTCCGACCCAGTTCTACAACACATGAGGCTGATTAGCTGTTTATGTAATGAGTGGTTCTGACCTGACCGTACGTTCCCAACAGAACCTCCTTCTGCCCATCGAAGTCCAGGTCAATGACCAGCGCACAGAGGACCGCATCCCACTGATCGCTCCCTGACAGACAGGTGGACCGGGCCAAGCCAAACTCCTGGATGTCTCTGAGGAAACACATTCAGGAGAGTCTCAGTGGAACTGAGGACCTTCAGGGAACCTGTGTCCTGCTTCCTGATGCCGACCTGTAGACCACCGCCATCTCTATGGTGCTGGTTATCAGCAGGTTGAAGCTGTGGGTGTCATCACCTGGAAAAACAACAACAAATCAACACAAAAACAACGACGAGCCGGAGAGCGGTCCAACTGGGCCCACTGGGGACATACCGCTGCCTGCGCTGGGCTCGCTGGGCCTGGCTCGGCAGCTGAGTGGGAACAGAAGCACAGTGGAAATCGGACTGTCGAACTGAACCTGCCAGTTCTGCAGAACCTCTGAAGAAAAGAAACGGTGAAGCACAGCTTAGTGTCAGAACCTTCAATCTGATCACAGGAGCAGCCAGAATCACTGAGGCTGAGGCAGAACCACCTGCACTTTGCAGAATTTTACATATCCGAGATAAAAGATTCATTTTACTCACCTGGTCCGCTCTGGTTGACCAAAGCCAGCCCAACACAGCCGTTCTGACAACCATATGCTGAGAGCCGACGTCCACCAGGGACACTCGTCATGTCCAACCACAACACGCTGTACAGAAGAAGTGACCACAAACGTTCACAACCATCCAATGAAAAAGGAAGAGCGTCAAACCATTCCTAGCTGGACTAATTAAGCTTCAGTAGAGGAAGAGAGAGAGAGAGACTTTCAAGGGATAACAGGAAGGTGTTATCCCTAGAGAGAAATAACACACCATATGAAAGCCCAAGACGTGCCTTGATTACGCCTCTAAACCTCATACTCCTACCAGATCTATCCACAGTTAGCAGAATCAAACGTTTTATTTTGGAAAGAATTCAAAACTTGAAATCAAGTAAAATGAATCACCTGCATTCCTTTACATAAAATAAAATGTATTTAAATGTGATATTTGTCCAGTGAAACCAACAAAATAAAACATGTTCCTGCCTCTGTGCAGATTCCCATCATCTGATCTACAAAAGTCTATTTCTGCCTTTTTTGTTGATGATGCTGTGATTCATTTATTTCATTAATGCAGCCATAAACATTGTAGAAATGTTTATGGCTTTATGTTTATGCACAGCTCTGGCTGTGGGGCGGTTCATGTTGGAGCCTGTCTACCTGGGAGGAAACATGGACACTTTGTGAGGAAGGGATTGGTGTTTGTTTTTGGATGGCCAATTTGCCATTAATCAAATACCAGAACCATTAAACATGATTTTCTTTCTAAGGGTTGAAGTGTATGGTCTTTGTGTGACTGGTTAGAAAAAAAACGACTCTAAAAAGAAAGAAATCCTACTTGTCAGGAGGAGTTACCAGCAATAAAAAAGCCACTTAATAACTGAAGTAGAAAACCTTTTAAAACCTTCACAAGGTTACACAGAAAATCTACCAATGCTAACTACGCTAACTGCTAAAATAGCTTGATACATATTTCTGCCCCAAATGCTAACAATGCTAACAACTAACTTCTTCTTCACAGAGAGGGTGACGACAGCATCGCCGTGGCTCCCTGTTGAGTTACGGCTGCCTTCCTGTTTTTATCCATTTCTGAAACACAATCCAGCCCCCTTACTAGGGGTCTAAATCACACCCGTCATGGCGATTCGATTCAGTATCGATTTCCTGACCCAACGATTCCATTATTTTGGATACTCAAGAATACACCACGATACGATTCGATTAATTGGTGAATTTATTTATTTTTAACACCCTACAGGCTAGACAATGTTTCAAATTTGAAATAAATCAATGAAAGCTGTAATATTATTATGCACTTTATTTGAGAAACAACAGCAAATAACAGAAGTAGAAAAGTTGTACTCCACCTATTCCTATTAAAACCTCATTCACTGAAAAATAATAATGCCCCTGCGTTATAGATTCTGAAAGGCCTTGCATCAAAAAATACTGCACAATGCCCCCTCCACAGACGCTCCGCTGCTCCTCTCCCAGACTGTAGTTGGCCGCAGACAGGAGGCCGGCTTGTTTTGTTTTAATGACTGAAATTGCGGAAAACGACAAGTGATGTTTGACCATCTAGAAGAGTGAGGTGCGCGAGAACATTGGGACCCTTTTTCCACCTGGATCTCCGCTCTTTTTGGCCCTCATGACCCTCCGTCGTCGGACTAAACTCGCCCCCACTTCCTCTCCGCCTCGGCCGTATCTAGACCCACAGTGTGTAGCTCAGACCACGCTTCAATATTGAGCCTAAATCAAAAATGTCTGTGTCAAGCTCACTGCGACACACTGCTGTAAGAGTATAACCAGGAAGCGAGGTAGGAGGGCAAAATAGGTTTAGCGCCACCGCAGCACTGGAGGAGAATTACGCCCAGGAGCAAATGGATAAAAATAGACCAGAGAAAAAAAAAAAAACATGAATTGATTCTCTTGCGGACGTATCGATGCATCGGATCGTCGGCTGTTGGATCAATGATTCAATACAAAACGGTTATTATTTACACCCCTCCCCCTTACCATCCTGCTGTTAACCTGGGCTGCCTGCATCCCACCACCCACCAACTATTCCACATGATGCTTGTTGTTGGTTCTGATGTGAACAAATGGAAAACCAAGCTGTGCCATTAATATCGATTCTGCTTATTAAGCGGTAAATGAAACAAAGTGCCAGAAAACAATGAAAAGATCAGTTAGAAGCAGCAATGGTCCAAACATTAAACCTGATGAAGTAAGAGGAGGAGCAGAGGCTGAAGGCGGAGAGGAACTGACTTGCTAGGCAGCTGCTGGAGTTCAGGGAAGAGTTTCTCTACAGGTTGTTCCTCAAACTGGTGCAGAGAGGCATTCTGTGGGAGAACTGGGATTAATGAGACCACAACACGTAGAAAACATCACTACAGGAAACACATGCCTCACCCTTTGTAAGCAGATCCTAAAGTGAACAAGTAAACTGAACCAAATGGGTCAGAAAATGCTTATTTTCTGATCATCCTTATTTTCTATTTACATTTTAACACATTTCCTTCATTTAACTGCTTTCCATTAAAGTATGGTAGTTGGGTCTAGAAGCGGTGGATGATCTGACCTCCTTGTACAGGTGGATCCTCTGGTCATGACCACTGAGCAGGAAAACCGTCTCCAGTCCTCCATCGGGACATGGCACCCTGACAGAGAGAAAGCTTCAGACACGCCAGGATACATCGTCTAAAGAAAGCTCCCCACTGAACTAGACTCCTCAGAAAACATCCATGAACATTTTGGAAGATCTGAACCAGACAGGAAGCAGAACAAGCAGCAGGTGTGTTTGGATGTTGGAGATAAACTCACTCAGTGTGGTAGAGCTGGAAGGGCGTGAACTGCAGCTCCAGGTTCAGACAGCTCTCTGCTCAGAGGAACAGATCATCATGAGGAAGAGGGTGTGTTTGTGTGTGTGGGGCAGCGTGCACACGGCTTCACTCACGTGCAATGGACTCCAGGTTGAACTCTGAGCCGGGCTCATAGTCGCAGTAGATGTTCAGGAAAGGAGTAGCTTTGTCCCCAGAGTCCTGCAGACGGTGGGGAACAGGACCGGATCTTAGAACCAGAACCTTTCAGCTGCCTGACAGCACAGCTACAGACGTCTGGATCATTAGGACTCTACATGGCAGAGGCTAGACCAGAACCACTGTGATAGAACATCTGGAGAAACTAAAAATGGCTGCTCTCAAGTCAGTCATTGAACCTTTGCAGCTTAAGATGTTCTGCAGAGATCAGCTAAGCTGGAGTCATCATCTGGACCTTCTCAGTGAAGAGCCGAGCAGGCAGCATTCCTTCCTCCTCCTATATGACTTTTCTGGGGCCAGCTAATGAAACCCAGATGTTAAAAACGTAGGGAAGTCATATTTAAATGTTAAATCATTCTTGCTTAAACATGTATATAAATGTATTCTTTATCAAACCATATTCTCCCAAAAGTTAGAACATTTCTATTAAAAAAAATTCTGTCTTAAAATCTGTTTTTTTTTTTTTGTTATCTTCTGCAGGCCAGTTAGTTCTACGTCAGCCTGAACACCTAAATTCGGCCAATCATATATCAACGATCATCTGTCAATCAAATTTTTTCGGTCATAGCATCTTGATTCTTATGTCGCAGCTAATATACGCAACGGTTGAAATCAGAATCATGTACGGCTGGAAGCCTTCTACACCAAACCAAGCTTCTGCCGCCCTGGCGTCCTCTTCCACAACATCTTCGTCCCCGCTTTCCTCCTCTAAATAAAAAATGGATGACGGAGGAGACTCATCCACGACCTCTGACACTAAACTCTCCTCCTCTTGCATGTTTCCTCTGTCCATAGCGTTCCTTGACAGTGTCGTTTCTAAGTCACCAATTAAGTGCTACTTGGTCCCAATGGAATTTCCCATTGGGAACCTGCTAGCACTAAGATGCTAACTGGTTAGCAAGATGCTTCCGACAAAACGGACACAACCAAATGCACTTACTAACCTTCCGCCACAACAATCCCGCCCCCTTGATAAACGACCAATCACATTCACTTGATTCACTCATGTAAAGTTGGGCACCACTCAGGAGAATTCGCAAAAGCAACGGTTGGAACGGCTGCTTCCCTACGACTTTAATGTTTTGGTATGACCACTATAGGACTGCAGAGTATTGATGGTCCAGCAGCACTGATGCATCGGTGCAGGCTTTGAGCCCATAGAGCAATAAAACTCTGTTTCCATGTATGGTTAATACAACTATTTCTTATTTGTGCTCATTAATTATGTTTTTGATAAAAATCCTTTCACTAAAATGCCATCAGAATGCTGATAATATTGTGTCTCAACTGGGTTATTTAGTTTGGCCTTTTTGGAAACACAGGAAGGAGCAATCAGCTAAGTGAGCTTAGTGCTTGGAAAAAATCTTTCATTCCTTTAGAGACAGCATGAAAAGTCAGCTGAGTACAAAACATAGAGAGGAAAACAAGAAGAAAAGGGACAAGAAGAGAGGGACACAACCTAGAACAGATAATGGATGTCTATGGATGTTGTTTCTCACTGACTGACTCACTAAAATGTGTTTTAAAAAACTCTCATCTTTTACGGTTTATCATCAAAATGATCCAGGATTTTGAAGCAGCCTAAAAGGAATAGGAACATTTCAGCTGTTGTGTTTTCATTGTAATTTTCTCCTTGCGTCATCCTTTTCCTCTCAGTAATCACTCAACTTACATGAATTAAAAGTTAATTTCAAATTGACCCTTAGTTTATTTACTGTTTTTACTGTACATATTGTTTTAAAACTATTATTTAAAATCCTAGTCCACAAACATCCTTATTCACATTTTCACCTAAATTTAAACGTTATGATAAATGTTTGCATTATTTATTGGCTGCATCTATAAATACCAAAGATATTTTCAATATAAACTTAGATTCAAAATAATACAATGTAACCTTAAATAACTTCAATGATATTATTGAAGTAGTTCCATTCAGTTTATCATTTTATTTATATATTTATTATTTAATTATTTATTATTTTACTTTTATTATTAGAAAAAAAAGATCCGTTCAGTTTTTTATTTATTTATTATTATTTTTTATTTTTATTATTCAGTTTATTCTGTCCCATCAGCTGCCTGCAGTGTCTTTAAATGTCCAGCAGGTGTCAGTATTCTGTGAGACAGATTCAATGCAGTTTGGCTTCATGGTGCCTCATTAACGCATCACTACTGCAGAACCTTTTCGATTCGTTTCCAGAAGCGCGCTAAATGTTGCTGCTGTACCGGTACCTTGATGAAGGTGATCCCCACCACCAGACCTCTTTTGGGGGAAGACTTGTTGAAGGCATCAATCGATACGATCTCTGCATCAACTGCACAAAGAAAGCAGGAATCAGTCCGCGAGCCGGTGGTAGGACACAGGGTCCAGTGGTGCCTCCGGTACCTGGTATGTAGGTGAACTGGACCTCCTTGGCCACCGGCCGGACTTTATGCTGCAGCTCCTGGTACCTGAAACACACCACCTTCCCTTTCAGAGTGGCCGCCAGCAGCTCCTGCTCCCCGGCCTGACACAGCCCGTAAATGTTGCTCTGGGACGGGAAGCGGCTGAAGCTGTCCTCCACGAAGGGGAAAGCCTCACGGAGCATCACAGCCAGCCTAAACACCGCGGGGACAGAGCCCAGGTTTGTTTATGCCTCAACTATTCATCAACTTCCGGGAGGCCGAGCTAGCCACACCCACTGCTTCCGGTGGGGAACTTCAAAATAAGCACTGACACCGGTTTAATGACTTTATAGAAGACTGGGTGTCGTTTTATTTTGAAAATAACTCATCATTAACAGGAAGTGATAATTTACCTGACAGTTTCAAGCTGCGCTCATGTTGTTGAAAAATAAAAATCTCTGTATTATTTTATATTTTTATGCTGTATTTGATTATTTTATTGGGTTTTATTATTTTTAGCTATGTTAAGGACGTTGTTTACAGCTGTAGTTGTTTTAAAGCGCTCTACAAATGATGATGATGATGATGATGATGATGATGATGATGATGATGATGATGATGATGATGATTAAAGAAAGAATAAATGACCTGTTTTTGGATATATCTGGTATGTGGCTCATGTGTTTTTTGCCTCTGGCTTCTTCTTTTATTTCTTTATTGTTCAGATAGTCTAGATCGGGGTCAGCAACGCAAACTGCTCAAAGAGTCATATTGGTTAAAAAAAAAAAAATCTGTCTGAAGCAGCAAAAGTCTTCTATAAGCCTCATATGGCAAAAAGGGCTCTAAGTGTATTAGCCCACTATAAAGAATGAGTATATTGGCTTAAATGTGAAATAAAAATTCATGATCAAATGTTTATCCTATAGCAAATGTCACATCATGTGACTCTGCTTTACAATATTCTGTGCTTTAAGTTTAAATTCTATTACAATATTAATGTACTAGATTGTGTTGCATTGATGAAAATATAGGAAAAAAATTGAGAAATCAGATTTTTTTGCTTTATGATTTTGTTTTATTCTGAGGATTTGGGAGGAAAAATGTTAGAATGTTGTC